TGCTAGATGTCTACGTGACTCTTGAATGTGTTATACGTTGGTATGTATACTGAGCGGGGGCTCAATGTCGAGCGAGGCCCGATGACCCTATTGCATGCTATTTTCATTGTGATTATCGCATGTGTTCGTATGATTATATGTTTATATATGTACCGGGCAGGGCCTGATGATTGAAAAATCTGTAAACCGAGCGAGGCTCGAGGTCGGGTGGGACTCGATGTCGGGCAAGGCCCGATGAAGGGTGGGGGCCCAGTATGTGTTTATTATGAATGGTATGTGGTATTTTGGGGAACTCACTAATATTTGAGCTTAAGGTTTTTAGTTTATGCTTCAGGTACTTCTGCTTCGAACGGGAAGAGCTTGGGATGATTGAAGAGCACACACCACCTTATTCCGCATTTAGTGATTTTCTCTGATATGTTATCATGTAGTGATACACTTTGATCCATCTTGGTTTTATGACAATGTTTTGGATTACCGTTTATTTAATTTAAAAATGAATTTTTTGGGTCTTATTTTTGGGACTTTACAAAATGAAACATTAAAACATCAGAATCGCAACTTAAAAAATATAAATTAACGTTTTTTTGAGAAAACACTAACATAATAACACACTATCTAAACTAAATTCACAATATAAAAACAATAAAACATAAGCTATGAATATCAATTTTAGATAAATATTATAACAAATAAGAAAACAAATGTCAATTCACAACTTAATAGTAGTGGATTCAAAACTTAATATTTTATGCAAATATTATAATAAATAAGAAAACAAACTTGGATTTATAACTTAAAAGTAGTAGATTCACAACTTAGTAGCAGTTGAAACAAATATTAACAATAATAAACAACAAAAGAGAAATTAAAACTTAAATTCACAGCTTAACATAAGAAAAAACAATCAAATCAGAAATCGACATACCCGGTATCAGATAGAAAGAGATGGAGGTGAGTTGGTAGTGCTTCACCAGAGCCACGAGACAGTAGCGGTAGTGGCGGTTGATGGCGATATCAGATCTAGTCCGTCAATCTCATTGAAGCTCGTAGATCTGGAAGCATAAATCATAGATCTAAAGATGTAAACCATAGATTTGTCACAAGAGATCGTAGATCTATCGTTGATGAAGCATAGTGTGATGTTTTCTAGTGTTCAGGTGACCAAATGTGGTAGATCTGAAGGCGTAGGCGATGCTGATGAAGCATAGTGTGATGTTTTCAAGTGTTTGTTTAGTTATTCCTTTAGTCGATAAGTGTAAGAATTAATAGAAAACTAGAATCAAATTTTAACGTTCTTAGGTTGACATAGGATGACAGTTACACTTTAGCACCTGCACATTGTAGATTAAGGACCTCTAAATAAATTATATTCTTAAAAGTTAAAAATCAAAGATCTGTTGTGATAAGTAGATATCAAGGAAGGAGTATGATTAGGTTCCTCTATGACGGTCAGATAATGGTTGTGAGTCCTTAAGACCACCGAAGGGTTGATCATGAGTCTTCAGAATCGGGGGGATGATGACAAGAGCGATCTAGTATAGAAATCTCAATAGTTGGATAAGTGTCACGATGTACCGTGAACGAATTGCTCAAACAATAGTTGTACCTCGACATTTGTAATGTAATTAGAGCCTTGTGAGAAGGTTATTGTTGACCTAGAATTCATTATAATCTAGTAGGTTGGAAGATAAGCAAGCCTTATAATGAGTCTGTCACCAATGTAAGAGTATTGGTTCCAGTGTTTTCAAGCCAATAAACCCGTTATAGTAGTTTTGGTAAAAATTCAGAATGTTGGAACACATGAACTAGGGAAAGAAACCATTTGTAATATATATCCGTGTGTATTTTAAGGATATGTCATAAACCTTTTAGAGGCATGTTCCTGAAAATGGATTACGTTTGGGTGTCGTAGATAAATTTCCATAGTTCATCACTTCATAACAAATTTGACTGTGTCGATATTTCACGTCTGAAGGCGATCGTCCACCGAAGAACATAAGATTCTGGAAGTCTTGACCGACGAGTTCCTAGTTTTGGAAGATTCCGTGAGAAGTTTGGAAGTACGTCTAAGGTAGAAAACAAAGTGTTGTGGCTAAATGAATGCAGGAAGACGAATTCGATGTAGCAATGTCGGCTAGATCTTAGTGAAACCCCAGTAAGTTAGTGTGTAGGCATTATCCTAAGGTAAGTTAGGTTTAGCATTTCGGGGACGGATCCTTTATAAGTGGGGGAGAGTTGTAACACCCCATTTTCCCATACCAGTAGAATTCAATATAAACCATCGTTTATAAAATTAGAAGTATATATGTATTACTTTTGAGCTAAAGTAATCATTAAAAACATGTACGAAATGTCAATACAGTTTCGTAGATATATAGACCGCCCAAATCGAACTTCGTATTAAAAAGTTATGCTTCTTCGAAGTTTCACAATTAAACCAGCACGGCTATGTGCGTCGTAAGATACGAATTAGAGATATATTACTTATTAGCCTTAGTGATCTAAACAAAAGTTGTACTAGTCGTAAAACCGAGAGTTGGCATATAGAGAACGTCTAAATCTGACTTTGCATGAGAAAGTTATGATTTTTAGAAGTTTCAGCGTAGCAGTATGCGACACAGAAACCAAAATTTAAATTGGTCGATTGTTAGGAAAAACAATTTATACGAGAGTCGATGATCTTGTCGATATTGTTCCATCGATATAAAGATAATCGAGAACAGAATTTGTATGGATAAGTTATGATTTTTATACGGACTTTAACAGTCTAATCCTGTTAAAAAATATAGTTTTAAAAATAAAGTGAGAATTAGCCAACGGAGTCTAAATGAAAGTTGTATATCTCGCCGATAGCTACATATGGATATAAATAAACGTTGAAAACAAAGCTCGTATAAAGAAAATATGATTTTTTATAAAAACTAAAAATACACGTGTGCGCAGCATGCACCGACAGGAGGTGCAGCACACTCTAACACTCCACTAGATTTCCGCCATGTGTCACAATCTACATGGAGCCACTTCACTTACCCTATAAAGTGCATGGTGTGTACAGACAAGGTGTGTGGCGCGCTTTCAAATATTTTTGGTATAAATAGAGCTTCAGGCCTCCATTCGATCTCCGCACCCTACCAAACTTCTTTCTCAAGTTTCTCTCAACCTTAGCCCTATTTCCCATAGTTTTGAGCTCCTAGAGAAGCCCTGAGGCCCCTGACAGCTTGTCATCTAGTAGCTAGCATGCCGAAGTTTTGTCAATGCTATTTCCAGACTTTTTTCAGGAAAATCTATATAAGTTAAGCTACACTTATATCACTTTTAGTGTAACTTATATTTATAGTCATAGTCGTTATTATGAACCTATAAATAAGATTTATCAATAATTCTAGTTACAATGTTGATTGATCTACTTATAGGAGAGGTGTCTTGAATAGTCATGTTGGCTTGATTGTTGGTATTTAGAAAGGATATACGCCAAAATGGTCATGTCTCCCAACTGTCCGGCCTGACTGATCCTTATTTGATAGAACTCTCAGTATTCATTGGGATTAGTGAAAGATCTGGTTTTCATTATCAGATTGTCATAGAGTTTAATAGGTTAAAGTATTATACGTTAATACTCGTTCGACGCGCTATCCTTCAGTTGGATCGTCAGTTGGATCGCTCAGATAGCTGTCAATCTTCCGAGTCATTGTCAAGGTGTATTTTCTCACTATATTATGTGTTCCAGTATATAACATATGTATGTTAGAATATAGTTATCATGTAGTATGCAATTGGACCACTAGACTTGTTTAGTTAGTTGCATGTCGTGTTGAACTGTTTGTCTATTATATATATATATATATATATGCGTTGATATATTATGTGGGGAGTTGAGGGCGGCCCAGCTTTGTTTTGAAGGCCAATAGACTCGGGTGGAATAACATGATGCTAAAGGCCAAAGTGCAGACCAACTATATGTTGAAGGCAAAGGGTGGACCAACTTTATGCTGAAGACCATTATATGTTTTATTGGTGGATCGACAAAGAGGTCGTGAGCCATTATGTGTATGCATTGTTATGTATATATTGTGGGATATAACATTTTGGGGAACTCACTAAGCCTAGAGCTTATCTAATTGTTATAAATATTTTTCAAGTACTTCATGAGAAGGACAAGGTTTGACTGTACAAACATGCATTCACAACATGTTTCCGCATAATGTAATTATAAATTTAATATATTATAATAAATAAAAATGAAAAGTTTGAGTTGAAAATCGGAATGTTACATAATATTTCTAAATAATAATAGGGCCTTTTTGGGTTAGCCTCATGACACAATTAACAATAAGGAAATGGAGAAAAATAAGTTGTTAATTTAATATGAATTAATAAATTAATTAGATGTTATTTTGAAATTAATTAAACAGTTTTAATTAATTAAAAGGCTTGGATATTAATTAATTTCTTGAGATTAATTGGAATATTCTAGAAGTCTCTTGGAAGATAGGTAGGGATGAAAATTAGGATAATTATCCTAATATATGACAGGTTTTGATAAAGATAAGAATTATTCTTAGAAAACTTATCAGCTTAGGTGGTAGGGATCAAACCTTAGACCAATTTTTCACTCAATTTTCGTTCTCATTCCCTCCTATATCTCCATGAGGTCAAAATTTATATCCCCTCTCTTGGGATATAGAAATTTCGACTCATCCCTTCTTAGGTTTTTCTTGTTTTCCTTCTTGGAGTCTTAGGTCTAATTATATTAGAGAGATTCTATGTTGGGTCTTTCATCCATTGCAAGAGTTGCTAATCATGAGGTCTCAATCGAAGAAGAAAGATGTCAGTATTCTTATGTATGTATTTTTATAGTCCGTTGCTATAACTAGTAAAAACCAAGATCTTAGGGAGCATGTACACTTAGGTAATTTTTGTTTGTTTCCGCTACCATGATTAAGTGTATTGATGCTAATAAAACCCAACACATTGCCCACCACTTTGTTTGCATAATCGAAGTCTTCTTTGTCGCTTATATAATTTCAATTACACTAGTCATGTAGCTAAAATCGCCAACATTACATATCCAAATCATAAAGCATATTGTACAGTTTTTCAGTCATCATTGCAACTCTATACACAAGAACATGATTTCTCTCATTGGAATGTACTATGCGGTTTCTTGATTAAGAGTCATCTCTACATTAGGGTCGCATTGTATAACTCTAATCCGGATGAGTAACAACATCAACCATTTCCCAATTCTTCTTATAATAACGGTTGATAGTGTTAAACTCCATATTGAAGCTTGGTGATCTGCTACTAGACGACCCAATGTGGTAAAGAACACAAGTGCAGATATACTGCCTGATATCATGAACAAACCGGTGAAAGGCTTGGGGCCTAGTGTACCTCGAGGACCATTGGATTCTTGAGCTAATAGAGAACAGTTGGAAGAGGATCTTAGCATATTTTCATTTAAAGTATTTATCTCTCCGTTTTGAGTTAATTTGAGAACTGCCTCCGAAATATCCTCCACCAATGGTGAACCCTTTTGGAACACCTAATACATGATCAGGAAAAGGGAAAAGGAAAAGAATGTAAACACCTAGGTAAATACTACTCATCATTTTGAAAAATGAATCTGAAACTTACGAAACCAAAACCACCAAGCTTGTAGGTAGGTCCGATCTTTTCATAGTCATGGCAATACTTTCCAAGGAAGACACTCGCGTGTGGTGATACAAAGAAAGCCATGGCTATCTCTCCCTTCTTGAATGCTTCAGGATAGTCTTCAATGGAGTTAATGTTCCTGATATTCTCTGGCTTGTAATGCAAGACGTTCACCAGGTAACGAACAATGAAAGAATTCCCATTGCAGCCAACAACATCATTATTTCCGAGATGATCTAGTGGTTGTTGAAACGTTGAAACTGTCATAATTGAAGAGAGCGTAGCGGTGAAAGATGCAGCAACAATCACGTTTACAAAAAACCATGTAGACAGCACTAACCGAGACAAATTGTTTTTGATAACTTCTCCTGGAAGATTAAGTAATGCCTATGTCATAAGAAGTTTCTATAGAACAGCTCAACGTAAAATGGATATATCAGTGAACCAAAAAAGATATTATATAGATCTGTTGAAGTTAAATAATTTCAACCAAAAAATATTATATAAAGAAGTTTGTGATAACAATTTCATGTCTAAGTAAAGACAATAATATTGACATAAGCACGGAGACTTACTATGTGCCAATGATAAAACCGCGACTGCAAACCAAAGCATCCTGCTAATACATTCTAAGGAAGATGAAGCCTCAAAATCCTCATTTCCATGCACATGTTCATTAAACCAAACAATCGACACAGTGCCTATTGTCATTGCCAATAATATAATCCACATTTTTGCTGTAAAGGCATAAAGGAAGATAAACCCTTCCTTCATAGAATTTGACTTTATGGGTACCACCCTAACTAATCCTGAGTCTATGTATGGTTGAGAAAACTCAGCATACTCGTATCGATCTGCCATTATTTCTGTATCACCAACAGCTGCATCCAAGGTCTGCATTACTTGTGCACAAGCATTAAAGATACACATCTTCATTATCAACTAGGATTAATTTGTAGTGTAATTAGTATGAAGCTTAGGCAAAAGGATTGTATATATATACCTTGTTATATACTTCAGCTACCATTTCGTCGTACGAGCCATTGTATGGAATGTAGATGTAAGACAACGAATAAGGTAGCTGCTTCACTGCAGCTTCAAACACTTCTATAGAAAAACCAGTCACAGAAGTTTTATTCTTGTTTGGATCATAACTAACCTTAACAAATTGATTAAAAGCACCTTTTGCAGGAACACCAATCTTTAATGGTTTCCCTTCATTTCCCGACCATATCTGACCAGTTGGAATCTTTTGAGTGCCACCAGGCCAATAGATTAAATCAAGGCTTCCCTCTCCATTTCCAAGTTTATGCCTTGAGAAACCAAAATCTGGTGACCAAAAATCAATCTCCCTGTAGCTTCTACCAATCACATTAATTATGGTAAATGTTGGATGTTGTGCTAGTTTTCCATCTTTAAAGCTTATGTTGCCGCTTACGCCACTGAATTCAGTTTGTAAAATGCTTTCTAGAATGTCCTTTGATGAGCTTAACCCGTTTGATGCTTGAATAGACCTGACAACAGCCCATGTTGCATCATAAGTGCGTGCTGCATATATACTAGGGTTCGAATATTCTTCATTTGGATATTTGGTTCTAAATTTGCTCCGAAACTGAAGTTTGAAGTCTCTAAAAGACTCGCTTGTGTCTTCAAAGTTAGTCTTGAATCCAACAACACCTTGCATGCTCAATATAACTGATTGGTCGACTGAATCAAGAAGACTTGATATATCATCAGAAATTATCCATACGTAACCCTTTTCCATCATTCCCAACTGATTTGCTTTCTCAAATAGTAGGATGCATGATGCTAGAGATGATTTTAAAAGTATGAACACCTTATTCCCCTTCATCTTGAGTTTTTTTAGCTTTTCTTCGATGAAGATGCTTGGGTTTGATAGATAATGCAAGGGAGGGAATGTGAAGTGGCATTCGATGGTTGAACCAACCAGTTGTAGTGCATCAGAGAGATGTGTTAAGAGACTATGGCTGGAGCTAAATGTACTGTGATCTTCATAAATTGATGTCACCTTTCGCCAATTAAAGTGGCCAATTATGGCAGCAATGCATTCTGTATGGGTTGTGATATCGTGACTCATTTGAACAAATGAAGTTAGTGCGGCTGATTGTGGAAGTGATGTTGTGGCTGTCGGGGTTAGAGAAATGATGGGGATGTTCTTGGTAGCCTTATCAAACTCAGCAACTAAAGTGGCTTCTTCAGGGCTTATTGTTCCTATAATTGCATGAACTTGTTTGTGGTCCATGAGATCCATAACTGTTTTTTAACAAAGTTCACCATAAGTAATTAAAACTAGGTTTCCAACACTTTAATTAAACTAGCATTTTATGTTGGGTCTACTTTAGGTTAAACCATGGTGGATTTAATGGTGAGTTTAATGGACAAAAAGTTGATGAGGTGGAGTTCAATACGTTAAACCCACCATTATGGGTGAAGTTCAATGAAATGGGGTTTAATCCCCAAGGATGGTATGAAATTTTTTTTAAACCATTTCACCAATAAAACTTTGTATTTAAATAATTACACCGTAAACACATACACAAGGCATATGTTGTTATTTTTTTTATTTATAATATATTTGTAATTTATTTTATTTTATATTCAATAATTTAAATCATCAAGTTCATTTATATTATAATAATAGTTTATAATCCGTGGGAACTACAGTTACAAATTTAATTAAACTTTTATAATAAAAACTCAAAATTATTAATCAATTACTTTAAATAAATTATTAATTAAAAGATATTTTTTTAGTTATAAAAATTATAATTGTTGATTTAAATAAGTATGTGACCTTATAATCTGTATTAATTTTATTTTAATTTTAATTTTAATGTTATTTAATTTAATGTAATTAGAGTGAAAATTTTAAATTTTAAAATTTGAAATGGATAATCAATAGATTGACATGTGAATGACATTAATTATGAGACCTAATAAGATGACACATGCCAAAAGGACAATCAACCTTTTCTTTTATTAGAATAGGGATTCTAAACAAAAAAGTATTTAAATCTTAAAAATATTTTAAAACAATAACATATACAACAATATTTAATTAATAATTTGTAATTTGTTACCTTTAATTTCTAACTAATGTAATATTATGGTTTTATAATATAATTTATAAAAACAAATATAATAAAATGTTGATGTGGCAATTCATTAAACTTTTAAGAGTATCCACAATGGTGAGTTCAGTTGGAGAGTTGAATGAGGTGGCAAGTCCATGTGTCATTCAATTGATCAAACTCAACCATTGTGAGATGACACTTTGACATTCAATAGATTTAGAATTCAATGGTCATTGAACTCTTCAATGGGAAAAATGAAAGTTTTAATTCTTAAATATTTACTATAAATTACATTTTATAACATTTTATTGAATCTTATAGAGTTCAATGCATTAGGTATAAAGATGGTGGTTCCTAGGACCCACCTAATTTTTCTAATTTATCTAGAATTTCTTTAGAAATTTATTAAGGACCTACCTTAAAAAAATTATAAAACCTACCTTTACCTATAAAAATCTTTGAATTTGTATAGAAAAATTAGTGAACCATGCTGTTTTTTATTCTAGACTCGTCACTAGTATGGATTATGGATTGTAGAATGATAACGTGCAGTGACGGAGCTTGAAGTTTTGATTTTTTTTTTGGGGGGGGCGAAAATAGAATATGTATAAAAATTGAAGAACAGGGGGGGACAAAGTCAAATTTTATAGTTTTAGGCATAATATGTAACTTTTTTTAATGCATAAGGACTAATTAAAAAAAATAGGGGGGAGGGCACAGCCCCCCCTAACCCTATATAACCTCCGCCACTGATAACGTGACAATCCATTAAACTTTATGGGGTTCAAAGCATTGTGGATGTCATAAGAGTTTAATAGAGTGTAGAATTTAATGGGTAAAAGAATATAGTTAGTGGAATGATGATGTAACTCTTAAGAGTTCAATGCATTGGAGTCGGAGATGACCTTATGATCAGAGCTTACCTTCATAAACCGACCGAGCCGGGTTTCCTTGAGAATCCTTGACATACAAAATTGGACAAGAACAAGCAGTCTTTGTAATTCTGCAGATATCATGGATAGCCATGTCCATGGCTATCGTTTGCTCTCTCCCAACACGAGAGCTTTTTTCAACCACGACACCTATCCCTGCATGTTGGCTCTTTGAGCAATTTTGGAAATTTCCATGATTTGCATGCACAATGCTCATTTCAAGAACGAAAGCACCGAAGAAGAACAGAAAACTTGTAGACACTTTCATCTCAAGAATGAGAAATAGGTTGACTTTGGGTGATATGAAGATGCCTATATTTTAAATGTACGTTTTCTTGCTCATAATAAGTATATACCCGGTGATCTCGTCAACTAAGTTGAAAACGAGTGCAATAATTAACATCGACCAATCAGTTTCCTGGGTCCCGGCTTGTGTCATATTTCCAACTTTTGATAGAGTCAAGGAATCCTTGCTTGCTCGTGAGCAAACCCCACTTGCACTTATCCAAATTCTAGAGGTTAACATTTCTATATGTAAAAGATATATGTATATACTATCTAACTTGCTATATAAAATGTCAACTCTTCGAGAGAAATGTTTAAAAAAATTTAATGTTGATTATGATTGAAGCCATTGTTTACTGTGTTAGTTAAAGAAGCCATTGTTTCCAAAATGCCCCTGGACTATTTTGGTCCCAGATAGTGAATTACTCCAACAGAGATCACCCTTCTCCTAAAGGAGATGTGTACTCGTGACTCCATAGAAGGAACCATAGTGAAAGTTTATATAAATTCCTTGCGATTGCATTGATTGAACAATCAACTAACAGGATAGAGATTATAGGATAAGTAGAAAGTTGAGACTACCTATGAAAGGATCAAATAGTAACCCAAATATCTTTTTTTAACTTTAGCATTTTTTATTATCCAAAATAATAATCAAACATTATTAAAGTTAATAACTTTTTTTGAACAAAATACTGAAATCGTCTCTATGGTTTGGTCAAATTTGCGTGTTCGTTCCTTAACTTTTTTTTACAACCGTCCCCATAGTATTATTTTGTTGCGTGTTTCGTCCCTTCCCGAGATTAAAATACTATATTGCCCTTTGTAACTTTTTTTCATTTTTTTATTATTTTCTTTATTATTTATTAATTAAAGAATAATTAAACAAAAACAGTTAAGTGATTTATAGACATGTGGGACCCACTCTTACTCTCACTTGCACCACAAACACCACACGCCACCGACAACCACCACATGCCACTAAAAACCACCACCATCGACCAACAACCACCACCAGCAGATTCCAACATCACTACCATCCACCGATTCTGGTTCCACTGCAGACCACATTATGGATTTCATCAGGTCACACCCAAGATCAAATCCCAAAAATCAAACTTGAACACGGAAATCAAAACCATAACAAGATAAATTCTGAAATTAAAAACCTAACCAAAGTAAAATCTGATTATCGCGAGATCAGAACCTAAGCTGAAATCAAAACCAAATATGGCAATCAAAACCCAAAATGCAAAACCTAACCTGAAATCGATGATGAAAGAAAAAACTAATGAAATCCCAGAACCCAAAGACGATTTTTGAGAAGAAATGGGGTTAAAGGGGAACAACACTCGTTTAAGGAGATGGTCGTGGTCAGACGATTCTGGCGGACACGGTGCTCCACCTGCGACGAAGTAGAGAGAACCACCGTCACTAGTACAAAAATGACCTACAGTCACACTTTCCGAAAAACAGCGTGTAACACTTTTTATTAAAAGTGTGGCCAAAGGTCACTAAAAAAATTTAGAGACTGTTTTTGGATACATTTAAATTACATGTGTGGCCATTATATAGATAATCAAAACTTTAACCACATTTAATTATACCAAATGTGACAAATATTAGTCACACTCGAACACTGAGGCCATAGGTAACAATCAGCCACATGTATCGATTATCATTGTCATACCTTTTTTATAAGAGACAATAGATAAACGTATTGTGACATGAGGCAATTGTATGTGTGTTTATAACCTGGTGACTTTTTAGACACATACCACACAAAGTACCTAAATGGTGATACATATGGTCACACTAAATATTTGTATGTCCATAGGGCGGTTATGTACTAGTTGTACTTAGTAAACGCAAGAAAACAAGTTAGTATTGGTTGTTTATGGCCATTTACCTTTTATTAGGTGTGTCAATATATGATGAATTGGCTTTCAGAAGAAACAAATATTGTGAGTGTAGGTAGCATTTAGTTATGATTACAGTTATTATATGTGTCTATATGTAAATATAGTTATAAAAGAACAATAGTGTCTTATCGGTATAATAATGGGTCGTTTATTAAATATGTTACTATATTTATGTAATGTTCATTCTGGTTGTAATATTGTATTTGTAAGTTTAAAGAATAGTCTTCATAAAATGAAAATTTGTTGATGTAAAACTGAAATTGTTTCCTGGTTAAGTTATTATACAAAAAAATGTCAATTTTAGACTTTTTGGACGACTCGTAAATTTGACCATTTTTTTCTTTGATATCATTTGGCAGAATTAAAAATGAACAAAAAGGTCAATCATGTCATTTTACAAAATTACATTGCTTTATTTGCAATTAAAGGGTTGTATAAATTAATGAAAAAAATTGAATGGTAGTTTTGTAAAGTTACCTCAACAAAAGCAATTATTAAAAAACAAAAAAAAAATAATAAAAATAATAAAAACAAAAACAAATAACAATATAGTTGTATTGAATAACAACTATAAGAAATGACCAAATTTCCCTTTTTGTCATCTATTCTTTTAATTGCATCAGATCATACACCATTAAAAAATGAAAAGAATACAACTTTCTTTAACAGAAAAGTATGATAAATAAATGAAAAGAATACAACTTTGTCTAACATTGCATAACGAAAGTACATTGCTATAATATGCAGTTTATGTTATAACATGTCATCTACCATTCTAGTAAAAAACTGAAAAATTAACTTTGTGTTATAACAATATTACACCAGAAAAAGTTTGATGGTATACTATGGTAAAAAGATATTCGGTAAAATCTTTAGGTTTGGGTTCAACAAAAGTTTTATCTCACTCAATGAGTTTCCAGCAAGGGGTCCGCCCAATTATGCCTTTTGACTTCACCCATACAAATTATCATCCATTATTTGTGAATTCATAAACAAGTTATAGGCCCTACATGTAATTCTTCCCAACAATGCATTTCATCAAATTGCTTTTGACCTCTCCAAGACAATTCCCATATGCTAACTACATGTAAAGAAATTCTACAATCAAACACATCATTCCAAATTCTAATAATAATTTGCAACTACTGTTTTTTTTATAATAATCTAAGTATCAAGTCTATCCCATTAGACCAAGCATAACTTGTTATAGGTTCCTATCTACGTTTTAGCCCCTTCAAATCGAAGCAATGAGACTCAAAAATAGAGATGAGGTCACATAGATACAAACAAGACAAAAACAGAGAAAGACCTTAAGAACAAGAAGCATACCTGAAATGGAAAGGCAACAAATGGTAAGTCTGAAAGGAAAAAAGAAAGAAAACACAACTTTCAGCATCCCAATTATGGATATTCTCCAAATACAAACTGAACTATTGACTAATAGCAAGAAGACACAACTAAAAGTCTGAAAGGAAAGAAAGAATAACTTGTAGCTAATGCAATGGTGGAGGTGGTACCTGGTGCTGATGCTATGGTGGCTACACCACTGTAATTGGGGGCAGGTGTCACTGTGATGTAGGGCTATGGTGGTATAGTGATACAGAAGCAGGAAGAGAAAAGTGATTTGCCAATGGTGGCGTGAAGAGACAGGAACCGAGGATGCAATGAGACAGTGATTGTGATTCCGTGAATACAGTGTTCCCCTTTGAATACATATCAATTGCAATCTATTGCTTCAATCCGGTTTTGAACAGTTATGGTTCTTGAAGGAGAGGTATGTGAAAAAGGTAGGAGGCGGGGTAACGGGGTATCTGGTGAAGGTGAGGGCGATGGGCGTCATGTAGAGTGAGTACGAGAAACACCAATCGTTGGTGAGGAAGGTGGAGTCTGCCATCAGTATCCACAAAGGGGAACACGGGCATGGGAGGTAGTATATGGCTTCGATATTTAGAGACATGCAGGTTGCAATAAGGCGAGAAGTGGTAGCAGATGAGTCACAAAGAGGTGCTAGCAATCAGGAGATCGTATGGTGGAGATGCTGGCGAGTGATCTGTATGGAGAGGCCGACGAACTGATTGGAACGTTAGAGCCAATTTTTAGGTGGGAAATATAATTAGGGCTTTTAATTTTTTGTAGGAAGAGTGAAATTATACCGGGAAACTCAAACTAAAATTTTGAGGAGAAATTTAAAATAGTTTAGAATATATATATATATATATATATATATATATATATATATATATATATATATATATATATATATATATATATATATGTGTGTGTGTGTGTGTACGTGTATGTGTGTGTGAGTTTCTTTGAGATCAATGCAATATTATGATACAAAGGATGTGTTTTATGACTATTCATTTTGGATGCAAAAAAAATGGAAATATTAAATAAATTAAAGCGAAGCCCTAAGTCATAAACCTTAAGACCTATATAACTCTAAAACCCCAATTCATACATGAGAAGTTATGAGCTTGTGGGAATAAGTGTACAAGCCATTGGACTAAACTCGCAACAAAACGAAACTATTGGACCATCCTTGCCAGCCAAACCCATTTTGGACCAAACTTGTAGCTTTTGGTTAATGGTTTAGGGTTTGGTTAATGCTTATAACATATTGCTTATAGATTAATACTTATGGTTTAAGGCTTAAGGTGTACGAATTAGGGATTATGTTGTAGGACTTAGGGATTTTGGCTTATGGTTTATGGTTTATGGATTACTAGATATTTCTTATGGCACCTTGCTTAAGGTGTAAGGTGTAGGGATTATGCTTATGGCCTAGGCTTTAAGGTTTATGGATTATAGATTATGGCTTATGGCTAAAGGCTTAGTGCTTACAACTTAAATCTTATGATGTATGGAATTTCGCTCATGGCTTATAGCATATGGTTAAAGTAGGTATGGATTAGGGCTTAAGGCTTATATTTTATGTGTTAGGACTAAGGGCTTAGGGATTATGGTTTAGGGCTTACGGATTATGGTTTGTAACTAAACGCTTAGGGCTTACAAATTACGTCTTATGGTTTGTTGCTTATTGCATGTGGCTTATATCTTATGGTTAAGGGTGGTATGGCTTAGGGCTTAAGGCTTATAGTTTATGTGTTAGGGCTAAGGGCTTAGGGATTATGGTTTGTGACTCAAGGCTTAGGGCTTACAACTTATGGTGGTGGTGGTGGTGGTGTAAGAAAAATCCATGTCATGTTATAAATTGTCATCCCGATGCACATATAATAATAATAATAATAATAATAATAATAGCAAATTAATGTATAAATTTAATAAGAGACCAAATAAGTATCGATGTGGCGCCTGTTGGTAACTCATTTGGTCAATTATCTTGGTGGTGTGAGTTCGAATCCTGCCAACAACAATTTTTATTTTGTACACCCTGACGAAACATGAAATCAGTTTTTGTGTGGATCCCCACGGAAAATTCCAATCTCCCTCCAATATTATATACCTCACGAATATTTTTAATCTCCCCCCACGAAATCCTCATTTCATGAAAATTCTCTCTATTCCCTAATTCTTCTTATGGCTGAAGTCGATGGGAACCCCCATCTTCTGGCGCGCGCCTCCGACGTCGATCCCAAAGACCTTCCACCAACTCCGGTACTCCGTTCGTCACCATTCTGGCTTTCCAATCTTCAACGGTCGCACGCAAAGGTATGTTTAAAATCTGAAATCGTTTTTTTTATGGTTAGAGTCGACGATTGCTCTCAAACACTATGCCCTAATAGGTAAACTCGCTCCGCATCTACCCCACATCGCAGCACACCCCTGACCTTCCATCTTAGGTGCACCCGTTCCTCCCCATCTCCGGCTGTCGTCGATGATGTTGATAGCGATTTTAGGGCTGTGGAGGCTGGGAAAACACGAAGTAACAGCCCAATCATTCTGATTTTCAGCTTGTGGACACAAGATGTGAAGGCAATTTTTGTAAGTATTGCTTGTTTCCCAATTTGCACAAATAGAAACTGCATCAGTAAGTATTTCTTGTTTCCAATTTGCACAAATATTTAACATATTATGATATAGTTCTCTCTTGTATTTGTTGCTTCAGTTTTTAGAAGTTACACACCATTCAATTGATTACTCTTATATGCACTGGTTGTTGATGATGGCCAATCATCTTACGAAGAATGATGTTGTTAGTCATAAACCTGCTACTCATTCTAGCCTGTTTAATTCACATCATGTAATCTAAATTTCTGAACAAAATTGTAGTTTTTTTTGTGAAAATTTTTGTATAAGCTACATAAACTATAGCAAAACATTGTTCCACCATGCAGGCTGTAGAAGCAAGAAGAAGCAGGGCCAGGGAGCAGAAGCTTGCAGTTCCTGAGAATTATCATATCCTAACAATAATAGATGAGATACACAACGCTCAAAAAAGAGCACATATCTTTGCAGAGCAAGACATTATGGTGGAGAAAACAAAAGAAAAAAGAAAGACACTCGAGTCTTTTATCTATGACACATGTAGCAAGGTAAATTTTTACACTTGATTTAGTAATTCATTAAAGTTATTTGTGTTGTTTAACTTTTAATTATATATATTGCTTACAATATGATAGAATATTTGTACTTTAGCTTTTTAGTTCCTATCGAAACATTGCAACAGATTCAGAGGTAGAGATCATCTCAAAAAAGTCTGCAAAAAACCGAAGAGTGGCTATATGAAGATGGTGATGATGAATGTGAACATTTTTATATCAGAAAGCTTGAGCATCTTGAAAGGGTGTTAAAAGTATATGAAAATTTTAAACTAATATTTTCCTTCCGAAATAGCTTGCTTACATCTAATTATGTATTCCTGTGTAGTTTTTTTAAGTTATGATGCAGATTGGAGTAGTTGTGGTTGGACATGATACAAATGTAAACTATGACAAAATACAGTAAGATACCCCATTTACTCATTTTAATAACATCTTATATACCTAGTGTTCTTGAATTATATCTATTTGTTGAAGTTAAATTTATAAAAAGATGCAAGTGGTGAGTAATTTGCATGTATGCAACTCTTTGCATTCGTGAGAATCCAAGATGCATTTTCATTGCTACTAACAGCGGTATCACTATCAATATGATTGATTTACAAGAATGGCCAGGTAAGAATCAAGGGCATTCACATCTTTTGCACTCAAATATCAAGCATGAGTCTTTATCCCACCTTTACTTTTTGGGTCTGGTTTCAATGTAATGAAGTACAACATGTTTAGTCTTGGCTATTTGATTTTTCACAAATTGGGTGTCAATGTTTGACTTTGTTGATTTAAGGGTCATATGGTAATTAATTCTAATGTGTTGCATTGTTAGGTATTTGGAAAACCACCAACATTTTCGATGGATTTATTGCAAAAGATGTACGTAGTCAATTAAATTCTTACTTCAATTTCTTAATCTATTACAACATTATACTTCTAACTTTTTCTTATAAGGACATTGTACTTTGAAAATTCTATCCAATTATAGCATTATACTTCTATATTTTTTCTTATATGGACAATACTATAATAGGAACAAATGAAAGTACGATGAAATAAAAGAAATTAAAGATTACATTGGTCAAGTCGACTAATGCACAAGTATAACACATTAACATAGTTAATTATTTATATTTATCTTAATGTTTGACACCTATAGTTTTTGTTGCTCCAGGTACCAAATCCACCATCCAATCAAAATTAAAACACGGAACTACACGATTCTAAGAAGAAAAAGAAAACTTATACAACGTTAGAGGGCATGACAACAATGTTGGAGATATAGTTCTTAGTTTATATGTAAAGTCTTGTATATATATCTTTTGATTACAAGTTAATGTCTTTAGTATTTGAATTGAAAACTTATGTATTGATTTGTTTATTAATGTTAATATCATTTTCTTTTAAGTTTTAACATGTTTATTTTTGTTTTAATCTTACAAAAAATTGGAAATGAAATGGATATTATGTCCACTGATAACTATAGCTTTACATAAAGATTAGTTACACCATATTAAACAAAATTCCTGTGACTTTATATAAAAATTAGTCACGCCAAAATTACTATATTTTATGTGTCTTTATATAAACATTAGTCACAAAATTTTGTCTATAAATCAATTGTGGTTATTTTTAATTGATTTTCTATGTCGAAATGATATAAAATAGTCATACTTATGACTTTTTATATGTCTGAATAAAAGAAGCGATCGTGATAAGTAATGCAAATATGACCGTAAGCTAATATTAAATCCATAATTTTAATAAAATGTGTCTTTATAATACTTACAGTCATGTTTCACGTAATTGTGTGCCTCTATACGATAGACAATGGTCACTACAAAATATTGTTTGTGTGACTAATTATTAACAAATCGTCACTTATGAAAGTAATTACATGTGGCTATTTAGTGAACATGGTCATGTTCATCGTAATTGCATGTCTGCAAAAGACACTCAATAGTTTTAATAAACTTTGAATTATGTGACGATTTATTAGCAAAATGCCACATTGAAACAACATGTATATCGTCAGTCGGCGATATACAGTTACTACAATTACTAAAAAAGTGTGTCTGCTGACGGTTTAACGCCACAATATTGGATAAAATGATTGATTTTAGGAACAAAATTTTCTACACAATTGTCACACTTTTATGATACGGCCACATGTTTTCATATCATACAGACACTACATTTTAAAGTGACCATAAGACCCATACGATGGCGTCACCTTCTGTCACACTTTCAGTGAAAAAATAAAAATGTCACTATACGCATATGGTCACACTTTTTTGGTGTGTCTGTAGGTCATTTTTATACTAGTGCGAGACTGCTCCTAAGCCCTTTACAAATCGATGGCGGAGACGACCATCTACACCACCAGGGATGATTCTACAAATCTATTAAGGTAGATGGAGAAGAGGAAAGTGCGAGGAGGGAGCAGATGGGGTGGCAAGAAAAAGAGAAGGTAATGATGATGCATATCAATGGTGTATGGTGGTTTCCTCGTGTCTTCCGGTGACGTTTCTTGGTGGTTTATGGTGGCGACTTGTGTTTTCTGGTGGAGTCTGGTGTTTTCCGGGGACGTTTCCAGGGTCGGTGATTATGGGCTTCATCAGTGATTATGGTTTCCAGTGAGAAAAGGAGAGGACGAGATTGAGAAAGTATTGTGAGGCAAATGAGGGTGGTGAGTGATGGCGGGGGAAGAGATAATGGGTGAGGGACCCATATTTTTTATTTTTAATAATATTCTTTAATAGGTTAATATTAAAAAATAAAAAAGAAATGGCCAAGGGTAATATAGCCTTTTCATGTCTACAAGGGACTAAAAACGCAACCAAATGAAACAGCAAGGACGGTCCAACTGCAAAAAAAAAAAAAAAAAAACAGATCAAACACACAAGTTTGACCAAACCAGGGGGACGCTTTCAGTAATTTGTTGTAATTTTTTATTTCTAATAATTATATATCAATATTGATAAATTTCAAATTGTGAATATTGTTACATTCACTTTTTGTATAAAAAATTATATTGATACTCATTTCTAGTTGTCAAAAAAAAAAAAAAAAAAAAAAAAAAAAAAAAAAAAAAAAAAAAACAAACTCTATGACGTTTATATGTTTTTAAAAAATAAATAATTGTTATAAATAAAAAAAAAATAAGAAAATAAGAAAAAAACTAATGAATGATTGTAGTTCATATTTGAACTTTTCCCTCACCACGGTACACAAAATACAAAATGTTTTAAAAAATATTTACATATATTCTACGACGTCCTCCTAGTCAAAATAGGAGGTGGTTAGAGAATGTCGTTGGATTCGTCAAAAGGGGTTTAGCATAGGCCCCTCATGAAGATATACATGATATGATAATGTGAGGAGACATGTAAGGAGTTCACTTGACTCTCGACAAATTTTGCAAAAAAAATAAAAACAGATGTTCATCTTGATGTGTTTAATGTATTTTTAAACAAAATTTCCATAAAAACTAATTGTATATATTGACATTATAAAAATAGGTTAATGTGACTTTTTTTAATGTGTGAGAGCTCTAAAAGTTTCTTTCGTGGTCAACACGACTAAGAAACCACGTTGACGACCCCTCGGTACTCAGCCTTGTTTATAGCAAGACAAGGTGGCTTTAAGTTTGTAGGACCAAGAGATCAAGTTTTCCCAACGCAAAAAGATAGTAGCCAACTGAACTCGGGTACCAATGCACCCACCCTAATAAGCATTTTATAGCTAATTGGTGTGGTCATGAGAGACGTTAAAGGTGTGCATCATGGTCAAGAGTTCCATTAATATAGTGTATAGTATGCTTGAACTCGTGTATAAGTTGTTCACTTTGTCCATGCATAAATAGGCATATATGCTACAATACATAATAGATATTGGTCCTTATAAATATAAGTTATTGTAGTATTCAAGTCATGCAAAGTTAGTAAAGAGGTGTCAACATAATATGTGCTCAAGTTAATTAGCACGGATTCAATATGGTATTAACTATCAATTGATGGGGAGGACGGTTTACGATGAAATATTCCAACTTGATTTATGAGATCTATTCAACATAATCTTTCTCATATAAGAATAATCCACTTATTTGATTAGTTACAATAATACCCGCAAAGTAACACATTGGTCCCAAGTCTTTCTTAAGTAATTCGGATTCGAGAAAGGACATGATATACTTGCATAATCCATTAGGAAAATACATCTATATACAAAAGAATGTAGGGTATATTGGCACTACGATGATATATGAGGACATAATTATCAGATATATATGAAATTCAAATAGAGTAAACAAATGGTGCAAATCACTAACCATACAATAAGCATTTTCATAAAATTACCTCATAAGTTAGAATAAATAGAATAAAAAACTTTGCAAAGTCTATTATAGAGGATGATTTATAATCTATATTATCTAGAATTTGAAAATTAATTTTGAATACGATATTATCGAACTAGAAATATAGATAGATGGTTTGGATTATATCAAAACAGAATAACAAATTCTAAAAACCTACTATATGTAACACCCCGAAATAAGGTATGTCAAAGTTATCCCTTTATTGACAAAAGGTGGCAAATGAGTACGCGGGGCATATGTGTGTGTACGCTCAGCGTACTCATGTGCGTATTATGGACGCGGAGGCCACCTAGTACGTTGAGCGTACTAGGCTCAGAGTGAAAACCATAATTGTGTGGTGTGTCCCTATTTCAGGAACATGATGGCCTCATTTCCAGCCACTATTTTCCAGTCTTCAACTCCCCTCAAAACCCTAATTTCCATTTTATTATCTTTAGTGGCCATTTGAAGCTTTTGAGTGATCTCTGTGGATTCTTTGGGTGAAGAAGGAGCTTTGAAGAGAGTAGAGTTGGAGTCCAAGCTTTGGATCTGAGTTTCCATGTGGTTGGTGCATCATTTGGAGGTATCAAGCTGAAGCTTTCTCATTCTTTTGATTTGTGCATATTGTGGTTCATTTTAGGGTTTATGTCGCAAAGCTTGAAGCTTTATGAGTTTGTTGAACTCCATAGCATAATACATATCCCTTTAACTGTCTCTAATTGAGTGGACTCATAAAAATGGGATCTTAGACGTCAAGATCTCCCCATGCATGATATATGAGAACTTTTGTGAGTAAGGAGTGAGAGTTTATGAGTTTAAGACTTGCTCAGCCATGCTAAGGCTTAAAGTCACAAACTTTATGGAGTATTAGCCTTTAGGGAGTCCAGATCTGAGATTATAGCTATGGTCTTAACGGATTAAGACTGGGAGAGTGGGAAAAATAAGTTTGGGGCGTACGTTGAGCGTACTCCTAGATACGCGCAGCGTAG